TTTTTTTTTTTCTGAGACAGAGTCTCACTCTGTCACCCAGGCTAGTGTGTAATGGCACGATTTTAGCTCACTGCTACCTCTGCCTCCCGGGTTCAAGCGATTCTCCTGCCTCAGCCTCCCAAAGTGATACTGAAGCTGGGATTACAGGTGCATGCCACCACACCCGGCTAATTTTTGTATTTTTAGTAGAGACGGGGTTTCATTATGTTGGTCAGGCTGGTGTCGAACTCCTGACCTTGTGATCTGCCCACTCAGCCTCCCAAAGTGCTGGGATTACAGCCACTGTAATCCCAGTTGCTTTCTATTGATACAGAAAACCCTCATGTTTCCAACCCTCATATAACAGCAACTGAAGGAAAGTCCCATAAAATATATAAGTGGTTATCTTTTGATGTCCATTTGGGTTGCCACCAGACTTGTGTAATCACTTGTGTAATGATGCAGAAAAATGTGTCATGCAATACAGAAATATTAATTGCAAATTGTGAATATGACAGGAACTAGGGAGAGGATGGGACAATACAGGAACTGAGATACAGGAATTAAGGGAGTTCAGTGTAGAGCTAGAAGGCAGCTTGGTAAACTTGGGTTTTGTGAGAAAACAAGGGGGAAAAGAAACAAACAAATGAATCTGGTAGTCACAGAGAGAGATGCAAAAAGGAATTCAGAAAGAAACTGAGCAGGAAGTGGGAGAGCGAAGGGAGCACTGAGGACAAAAGTGCTATTTCAGGATTGAAGAATGTGTAAGACACAGGAAAAGGGGCTCCCTCTGCCCTCTCTCCATTCCACCCTCAGCCCAAAGACACAGAAAGCCCAGCTGTCCCTTATCACATCACCTCCCAGACAGAACACAGCTCCATTTCCTTCCCTCATTTGAAGCTGGCATAATGACGTGGGTGACATTAGATAACATGCTTCTCTCAAAGATCTTCCATCCACACCTGAGAAGGTCCACCAATTTGAGATGCACCTGTAAGAGCACACATTCAGCCTTAAGATTGCTAGGCAGTTAGGGTAGAGGAGTGAGTTCAGTCTTACAAACGCCAATCAAAAAACCCAAAGAAAGGCACTATCGCTATTGGACACTGCAAGCAGGAATCAACAAGGAAAGTTTGAAGCTTGTGCTGGTCCTGAGATTACTCAGAGAAGTACTGGTGAGTTTACACAATAAGACAACACCTTGAAACCATACAGCAATATAGAGGAAGATAACCTCAGCACCTAGGATCAAATATGTATGTCAGATGTAAGAAAATATATCACACTTGGCCAGGCGCGGTGGCTCACGCCTGTAATCCCAGCACTTTGGGAGGCCGAGGCAGATGGATCACAAGGTCAGGAGATCGAGACCATCCTGGCATGGTGAAACCCCATCTCTACTAAAAGATACAAAAAAATTAGCCGTGCCCGGTGGCGGGCGCCTGTAGCTCCAGCTACTTGGGAGGCTGAGGCAGGAGAATGGCGT